GACTCGTGTTTCTAGTATAATTCCCGTGCTAACGCCACGGCTTCATTCAGAATGTGGCTTCATTTCAAGGATGCTAATGAAAACAACCTAACGACGTTATTTTTTTTTCATAATATATTGCTTGTGCTAACAGTGCTTGTGTTAATCCTACCAAATTTGAAGTACTTGGCTAATTGTGCTTTGTCAAAGCTGTTTTCATAGCACTGCACCGAGCAATGAAAGTTCAATGTTTTGCTAATATGACAAGACATCGCACGAAACTTTTTTGGCATTAGCCAAAAAACAAGCACTACGTTGCTATCTTCACGGAAAAATTTGGCATTAAGAGAGTACATGTAATAATGAGAAGAAATACCAATATATCAATCGGGTAGCCAGAGTGGAGCATCTTCAAAGCAATATGACAGCCCGCCCATAGGAGGAGATTGACCACCCCAGTTGGCATTTGACCACGAGTTCAGGTGTGTGTTCATGTCCTTGGTTCTCTACTTTTTCTCGTAATTGGTGTGGCACTAACGAAGGTCTCACCTCGGCATTTGACCGCGAGTTCAGGTGTGTGTTCATGTCCTCTGTTCTCTACTTTTTCTCGTAATTAGTGTGGCACTAACGAAGGTCTCACCTCTGTTAAAAAAATCCAGCCTTCATAGCTCATACATCCTAGAGTGTCGCATAAGACAAATTACCTGTTCTACAAGGCTAGGAAAACATGTGTAGGGTCTCTAGGTGGTGAGAGCAGAAATCTACTATCTGTTATCCGCTTCTCCTGCAAATTGGTCTTTGGGTTTGGCTTGAAAGCAAGACCACAAATGCATACTCCCCTCGCAACTTTTCTTGGCAAGTGAGAATCTTAACCATCAAATGGGGACATCCAAGGTAGGAATCTTATAAGATGGGTCAATTATCAATTGTTGGCACAAAATATCCTGACAAGATGCCAATCTGGCACCTACAAAATGCTTCTTTTCCTGATCAATAAAGTATACATTTTATAGTTAGTAACGCAAATAGAAGTTGTGCATAAAGGTGAAACATAGCTGAAATAACCAATATTTCAAAAGTATCCGGTGTATGATAACTACATCAGGCAAATTTTTTTTGCAGGAATATGGCCACCATATATTTTAGTTTATTATCATACCTCATCCATAAGAAGTGCAGCCACCAGCATCCGCGACACCTGAATAAACAAAATAAATTATTAAGGCTTGCAACCCTGTTTGCTTGAACTTATCAGTCATGGTACAGTATTTTTTCTTACAACAAATCAACATTAGCCGGCTTATCAGCCGCAGAAACCATCAGCCGAACAACCGGCAAAGTTATTAAAAAGAAAGAAGCAAAAAAGGTCCAAGATGCCATTCCAGCAGAGAGATGTCCAGCAGAGAGATGCCAAGCCCACGACAGAGGCCACACGTTTTTCATTTTCTAAAAAAATTGTTTCTACATAAGTTGATACTGATGGCAATGATTCATGTTATTGGAGAGAACACTTGCAACGCTTTCAAAGATGTGCATGTGAAAAGTTGATACATAGATGCATATTAGGGGAGAGTATGTATCTGTGGTAGCGGTAGCGGCGGTGGTGATGGTGGGGTGGGAGATTGCAACCTCTCACATGTAGAAAAAGGAAACACATGAATTTAGAGGGATAGAATCAGAGAAGGATTCAATGGGTACTTGTGGCCCAAGACTACTCTAGACTCGACTCATTGTTTGTTTACTGGGTTTTTTTTTATTTGGCCCAAATCAAGAAAAAGAGGCCCATCTCCAACAATTTGTGCAATCTTGCCTAGCGGCCCATAATTGTTGTACGCCGCAGCTACCCTATCCTTTGCCCATCCGTGTTGTGTGCTAGTGCGCCACCATTCCTCTCTTCTCTGATCTAGCACCTAATTTCCTATTGCCGTGCCGTGCCCCAACCCTCTACTTCAATTTCGATGACCGGCAGCCAATAGGGAAGTTGAGTAGTGAGCAAGAGAACTAACAGGCAGCAGGTGGACGAGCTTCGATAGGGCTACCAAGGTGTCGAAGTATTATTCACCGTCTCCGGGCTTTGGTCGCCGCATAAAGAGCAATTAGGCAAACCAACTTCATTTGGTGGTGAGAATTGTCGCAAACATATCGGCTCAATTCCTTACTAGTGTTTGAGATTCCTTTTGCATATAGAGCAAATTTTGTTGCCTTTGAAGTGGGAAATAGTGAATAGGTTAGCAATTTGGTTCCCAAAAAAATCTTTAGATATAATTTATGTAGTTTTGAACTTATTTTAAATTTATGAAACTATGAGATCTTTTAAATACATGTGGATCATGCTTTTGATTAAAATTGGGTTGTGAACATGGATTATACCGGTTTTTCAAATATTGTACATGCATACCAGATCCTAAATACAAATTACGTTGAATTACATATGGTTGAAATTGGCTAGAACTACCCTAGGTTGTCATTGTAGTTCCACCACTAGGAGGTACGGGAGCCAACAACTGAATTTATGCGAAAAGGTAGAGACTAGGAGGCGCAACCACAAAAATCAAGGGAAAATAGGGGGCGGAGGTAGAAAGATGGCCTGAACCTCACATGTTCATTAGAAGAATCTCTCGCAACTATATATGCAAATGTTAATTTGGAGGCGTGTAATAATAAATAAAAGCTACAAGAATGACATCATGTAGTAAGCAATGAATGGAAAAAAGGAGCTCGTGTCTTTATAATACTTCATAGGTAAGAATCATCGCAGTTATAGCATTTTTTTCCTCAAATTGTACATATATTATCCTACCTGCCATTGGACTATTGTCATTGACTACCTTAAAAACTACAATAATGGCACCGTAGTAAGGAATGAATGGAAAAAGGTATGTCATATCGTTATAATACTTCAGAGATTATAACCATCGTAGTTGTAGCATATATTGTTTCATACAATACAATGCATCTATTGTTCTACCTACCATTGGACTGTCGTCATTGGCTATCTCTGGAGTTTATTTTTTGGGTTGTGTGTGATGAACTATTCATTAATTTTCAAGCATTTTTAGTGATCCATGCCATGCTAGAACCAAAACTCATTTCTACAAAGTGTCATCTATCTTTTGTAACCGTTCCTTTCAAATTTGAGACTTCCATTGATTTCTACGTTCACCAATCTCATATTGCTATCTTTTTTCTAGCTACACATATGCTCTGGTCTTTACTGTTAGGCCTTGTTTAGATTGCAAGTTTTTTTACTCTCTCTTCATCACATCAATTTTTTGGACACATACATGGAGTATTAAATGTAGATACACAGTTTGATTGTAAATTACGAGACGAATCTTTTGAGCCTAATTAGGCCATGATTGAACAATAATTATCAAATACAAACGAAAGTGCTACAGTACCGAATACTAATTCCTAACTCCAAACTAAACAAGGGCTTATAGTTGCGTCCTTACCGTTGACCTCCTTCCTCGGCTGCTCTGCCTATTGGTTGGATACACCACCTCTATTAAGGGCTTAATATGTATCTACACATTTAGCAAAACTTCACCATGTTTTTACGCCGCCACGAATGGTAGACGTGCCGCGGTGCATCAGGCATGCTAAAGGTGTGGCGCGAGAGCTGTGAACAGTGAGCAGCGAACCAAACAGACGCTAAATACGTAGAGCATATATATATATATATATATATATATATATATATATATATATATATATATATATATATATATATATATATATATATATATATATATATATATGTACTGTAGTATTTTCTAGGGCTCTCATCAACACTGCAAACCTAGACCACAGCTAAATAAAAAATGGGCAGAACTTTTATCCGGCACTATACCGTGTGTTTCCTTGAGCTCAGCTCAAGCCTAGCCCATCCGTCCTTTCCCTTTTCTTTTCCCCTGACACCGCCGAATTTCCTTTCTTTAAGGCGGACAGAGTTGCAGTTGCAGCTTCGACGGAAGAACACATCAATGGCGGTTTCATGATCCTTGATTCGCTTCGTCTACCGCCGTCAGAGTCATCACCCACTACAGTACTCCTCCCCTTAAACCCCTGCACCATTCTCCTCCCTCCCGACGCCGACCCGCGGATTCTGCTTCCTCCCCTCCCCTTTTATCGCCCGCCTCGACGGCGCCCTGCCCCGCTCTTGCTTCGCTGTGGAGACCGGTAATTTCTCTTTTCTCTCGATCAGTGCGGCATTGCAGTTAGCCCCTGCCCTTTTCTTCTCCCGTTCACCCCCGCCGCCTCCCTACGCCAGGTGCCCAGGTGTAGCTTCGTCGGTCCCTTCGCCAGGTCTTCCCCGCCCCTTCGCCGGCGGCCGAAGAGCGCCTAGGTATGCGCGCCCCTCCTCCTCCCTTCCTTCCTGCTGTGTGAAACCAGGCACCCGAACCGTAACCTGAACTATTTGGGTATGTGTATTCGGATCTGATCTAATTACAAGTGTATGTTTTTTTTTTTTTTTTTTTTTTTTTTTGCAAAAATTACTGGGTATGCGTGTGGACACCCATGTCTTTCACTGGGTCTGCCCCTGATTCATCTGGACTTCTAGGATATGTAGAGTGATTACTTCAGCTTTGAGATGCCTAATTTTATACTGCTTTATCATTTAAATCCTTTGCAAAGAAGGGAAGTGGAGTAATGCAGTGGCAAAGTTTGGTGTGAAGGGGAAATCTTTATCTAGAGATGCTAGAACTTGAAATGAGCTCAACAAAACAACAACTCTTATAAGATGCATAATTCTGGGAACCGCAGTGGCTTGGTAAAGTATATCATGCCTATCTCACGTAGTTGGTTATACCGTTATAGTGTATCTGGTGTCTGGTTGTAATATTTGTTTGTATGCTTGTTGTCCTAGTTGTAGATGGTCATAATACCATGTCTAGAATGTTTTTTTTCTTGTTTTGGACTTAACTTTAAATGCTAACTTTTGGTTAACGGAACTTTCTTTCTTTCTTTTTTTTTTTAAAAAAAACTGTTACTACATTTTTTTCTTCTCAGAATTCAAGATGGGGACTCATCGTAGGAATTATTCAGACGATGAATTTTCAGTTGCTGGCGAGAAGCCTGAAGTAGAATTCATGGACTTCCAGAATGATGACACTTTTCAGGATTATTCATCTGAAGATGCCCCTGTGCTTGTCTCAGCTCCTTTCCCTTTCAAGGATGGAAAACCAAAATCTGTACTTGTTGGAGAAACATCGGCTGATACCATTCAGATTGAGAATACCTCTCCTGAATCTGTAAATTTGTGGAGTGTAAGAATTTTCTCTTCGAACCCAGAAGACAGCTATGTGTTATCAATGATGAGACCCCCGTCAAATGATGCTAATGAGGAGGAAAAGCAGGCTTTTCTTGCTTTGACATCCGTGGAAGACCGTACACTTCTGCCTGGACAAACCCTTACAGTTTGGCTGTCTTGTACGCCAAAAGATATTGGTTTGCATACATCAATCGTGCATGTTGATATCGGTGATGAGAAGATTGAGCGTGTGGCTTTTCTTTTGGCAGATGACAATGTCTCCAAGGCCTTATTTTCTGATAAGCCTTATTCCAGGAGACGTGGTCAAGTTAAGAAATTTGAGCCTTCACCATATGTGCCAGGTTGCCGTCCAACTCAGCAGCACACTCAAGGATTCAAACATAAGCTTCGTCAGTATGCAATACCTGCACACATCCGCGAGCTTATTGAAAGTAAACAGAAACCTGATGTCCTATATGATGAGTTGAGCATGATGAACTATGCAGAATTTTTTAGCGCTCTTATAGTCATGGAAGAACTCAATATGGAGGTATTTTCAACACCTGTCTCCTTAAATTTTAAGCTCTGTCCTGGTTTGCTAACTTGCCTTTTTGCAGGAGGAGATGAGAACATATGACATGGAGGGTATCTTAATGAGACGGAGGGGTATGAACTTTTTGTCTCTTGAGGTCCCTGGTTTGGCAGAAAAAAGGCCATCACTAGTCCAAGGAGACTTCATAGTTGCTAGATATGCTGGGAATGATGCTCGGCCTTACCAAGTTAGTTCCCTTCCCTTGACAATTGTATATTTTTTGGCGCATTCTTAAAGGTTGAATATAGGTTCATATGCTCTCAGTGAATAATGATATGTCGGTTTGTCTCCAGGGTTTCATTCATAAGGTTGAAGCTGATGAGATATTTTTACAATTTGACCATCAGTTCCACATGAATCACCGTCACAGAAACCAGTACCACGTCAGCTTCACATATAACAGAGTGAGCATGAGAAGGCTTTACAAATCGATTGATGATGCAAAACATTTGGGACCTGGCATTTTGTTTCCCCGCCAATCACCTTATAGAGTTTTGAAAAGGTGGCCATTTAAGCCTCTGAATCCACATATAAATACTGAGCAAGCTGATGCTGTTGCAATGATACTTGCCTGCAGAGGAGTTCCACCATATGTGGTATATGGACCTCCAGGAACTGGCAAGACCATGACCATTGTAGAGGCCATTTTGCAGCTTTATACGGGCAAGAAGAGGGCAAATATTCTCATTTGTGCTGCTTCCAATACTGCAGCTGATCATGTACTGGAAAAGCTCCTTCAAGCTAGCTATCTGATCCGTCCAAGTGATATCTTTAGGCTAAATGCTCAGAGCCGTCAATACGAGGATGTCAATACTGATTTTATCAAGTTTTGCTTCTTTCAAGATCGGGTGTTCAAGTGCCCTCCGTTAAAAGCATTGGTGCAGTACAGGATAGTTATATCGACCTATACGAGTTCATATCTGCTGCAGGCTGAGGGCATTCGCCAAGGGCATTTCACACACATTTTCTTGGATGAGGCTGGTCAAGCCTCTGAACCAGAGGCAATGGTTCCTTTGTCAGGGCTGTGTGGAAGAGACACTGTGGTTGTGTTAGCTGGAGATCCAAAGCAATTAGGGCCAGTGGTTTATTGTAAGCAAGCGGAGAAGGATGGTCTGGGGAGATCATATCTGGAAAGGCTGCTTACTGACTTCGAGCAGTACCAAACAGGGAATCCTAATTATGTGACAAAGCTGTTGAGGAATTATCGGTGCCATCCTGCAATCCTAGAGCTACCATCAGAGCTTTTCTATGAGGGTGAATTGATTGCCTGTAAAGAAGGAGAACCATCTGCTTATGATTGCATTGGCCTTCCTAACAAGTCCTTCCCTGTTCTTTTTGTCGGAATTCAAGGATGCGATGAGAGGGAAGGCACCAATCCATCATGGTTCAACAGGATTGAAGTTAGTAAAGTAGTATCTATCATCAGGAACCTGACAAGGGGTGGGGATGTTCATGAATCTGATATAGGAGTAATCACTCCATATCGTCAGCAAGTTGCCAAGATAAAGAAAGCCCTAGAGGCATTAGAAATACCCGACTTGAAAGTCGGAAGCGTCGAACAATTCCAGGGCCAAGAGAGGGAAGTGATAATCATCTCTACAGTCAGGTCGACTGTAAAGCATAACGAGTTTGACAAATTTTTTAACCTGGGATTCTTGAGCAACCACAAAAGGTTCAATGTTGCTATCACTCGCGCAAAGTCATTGCTCATCATCATCGGAAACCCTTACATTATCACCAAGGTAGTCTCTCTTTCATTCATTATATCTCCTCTAGGCTCTAGTCAATATCATGCACTGTTATGTATTCATTGTCAAACTAACTACTGTAACTTCAGGACCGTCACTGGGACAGGCTTCTGCGATACTGCGCTGACAATGACTCTTATCAAGGATGCCCCCTTCCACCACCAGAATCTCATTCTTATTCAGACGATACCAGATTCTTCTCCAAGTATGATGAAGACCAAGGTGGACCTTCTGGGCAGGACTACAACCAAGAAGCTGCCTACTGCAACTACAACCAAGAAGCTGCCTACTGCAACTACAACCAAGAACCGTCTGACTTCGGTTTGAGGCATGACACTGGTGCTCAACCTGCTTCTGAGAATCAAGAGTTATGGTCTGAGGAGTTGCCTGAAGATGATAACCAGCCATTCAGCAACCCCCAAGCAGATCTTGAGGAGATGCCGAAGCAGGATGTCGAGGAAGGGGCTGCACAGGGAGATGTGCAGGCCGACCAGTTATCGACCAATGACAATCAGCTCCAGGGTGCATACATGGAGAAGTACACCTTCCCTCCTGGTTGGTGCGACGTTTCAAGCATCCCAGCAACAGGCTGGGGCGACTGATCAGACCTGCAATCGCCCTTGGTAGGGGGCCATTGGCAGAATAATTGAGGCTGGTGACCTTGTGAAGCCAGCACCCTCGGTATCCCTTCTTTTCATCAAGCCTTCATTCAGCTCACTGCTGGACAATTGTTGTAGCGAGTGAACTGCGTCTATGTGTTTAGGCCATCGTGTGCCTGATGCTGGCAACATGAGACGTGCAATATGGTGTGGTTGATTTGCGGGTGTCATTGAACGCGTGTGCTCATGGTTTTAATGCACTGCAGTAGCCTGTTTGGTGTCGGTGTGGCTGCCATGCTGGAGTAGGGTGGTCAGGCTTAAAATCTTCATTGTTCTGTTTCGTCAGGAAGTTTAGAAGAAGGCACTCAACTGGAGTCAACAACTCGTGTAACTTGTTGCCGACTTTACTTGGCCGAGAGAAGTTGTCCATCCTTCATCCAGAGACCCATTTTTTTAGTTATAATTCATGTTCTCGTTTCAGTTTGAGTTGGGTCGTTTAGCTAAGTTATGAGTCAGAGCTTTAGCCTTTGCAGGTTCAGGTTTAGTTTGTTGCTTCCTTTTCTAGTTCTGCTATTTTCCTGGCTTCTATCAAACTCATGTATTTCTGTTACTATATAGTACCCGTGCTAACGCTACGGCTTCATTTAGGGATGTATATGAAAACAATCAAACAACGATTTTTTTTTCCAGAGTTTAACTTTCACACAATTGTATATGACCATATATATATAATCTGGGAAACACTTACACGTAACGAGGCATAATAAAGTTATTTCTCGCATTAACTATATAATTTACAATATGCCTAAGTCCTTAAACATGTCTTGGAGATCTTCATTGCCACTTCATGCAAACTTCATCCCAAATAATCAAAGATGCCGTACCAAGTTTCTTAAAGTAGATATAGTTTCTTAAAGTAATTCTATAATTCACTTTTGATAAATGAAAGAAAAAATTATATTTGATCTTTTTTAAAATTAAATAGTAGATATAGTCGTAAATATATGTGCGCAACCGCGATGGATATTTATCTGGTTGTTCCTCCGTTTCTCCCTCTCTCCCATCCGTTTTTTCTTTCTTCAGATAATTTTCGGGTCTTAGAAAGCTAACTAATGAAAATTATTGGACAAAAGAAAAAAAGCATTTCTTCTGGGCATAATCAACTGATTTATCAAGTAAGTTTTAAGTACTCCATCTATTTTAAATTATAAATCGTTCCAGCTTTTTTAGATACATACTTCCTCCATTCCAAATTATAAGTCGCTTTGACTTTTTTTGTTCATCCATTTTGCTATGTATCTAGTCTAGATACATAGCAAAATGGATGAACAAAAAAAGTCAAAGCGACTTATAATTTGGAATGGACAAAGTAGTTTTTACTATGTATATAGACATAATGTATATTTAGGTGCATAACAAAAGCTATATATCTAAAAATTAGAACAAAACTAATTGTCTCTGGCTTGTGTATTCTATTTCATAATGGCATTTTATTTTCATAATCACGTGTCAAGTCGGTTCATTTATTTTGTAAAACTTCGGTCGGGGCGTGTAGTGTGTTTCTTTTATAACACAGTGGTCTAACTCCTCTCTTTGTAACATAGTGGTCTAACTCTTCTCTTTGATACCAAATGTACTAAACCTCTTCATCGATCTCCTCTCTGTGGGCCCGGACTGTAAGTGACCCGTTTTGCTTCCTTATCTAGGGTGTCGTCGTTGGTATTTTATGAGAAGAAAGGGGTAGACCTTTCCAGGTTTAGTCACGCTGCAGACGCTCCACTGCTCCTACTGACGTGTGGGGTTCCCAAACCAGGTCCCACGCGTTCTTGATGGAAACATGCGAGTGGGTATGTTGGCAGGTCTATCGTCATTCCTTATTGACGTAATACCAGAATGGCACGAAGAGTTTTGGAAGGGGCGCGTCAGATGGGGCCAGGCTCGGCGTGGGTTTTTTCATTATAATGACAATTCTGGAAATTGCCTTGATCGGAGTCACGGATCCCTCCTTCCTATTTGCCTTGATTGACTTTCATATTTGCCTTGATTAACTTCCATTGGTTCCAATTTTACCGTAGCCTGTGGGATGTGTGAGGCGTGCGTTGAAGCCTAGGCGGGGGAGATCCAAATAACGTTGGCCATCGGATCAAGTTGAAGCCTGTGAGAAAGGATTAGGAGCCATAGATTTATTTTAATGATACAGTAATCCTGGGTACAATTTCGTTGGTGCACAATGGTTGTAGCCTCTCAGCGGGGGACTTTTTTTTTTGAGACCTAGTATAATTTTGATTGGTCCTTATAGTAGAGATGCTATAATGGAAATGGGATATTCTCGTGTGAAAAAAAAAGATGTGATGGAACAAACTCCATAAGATGCAGCCTATATTTATAAATGCTTCTATAAATGCTTGAAGGGGAATTCTGAATCGGCATATCTGGCATTACCTTATATTACTAAAAAAATACCTTATATTACCAAAAAAATTCCTTATAACTTCCTTCGGTTCATTTGTATATCTTGGGCCTGTTTGGATACGATTATAAGCCGATTATCGGTGGCTGGCCCTATTATTGGTGGCTGGCCGCGAGAATCACGAAGAATCGCGTCAGAGCTGATTATCGTCTCGTGACTCAACCACTGCGACTTTTAACGGGAGCTCGATTTTAGATCGTATCCAAACGGGGCCCACGTGACAGCGATGCCGCGGGGCACGATGCGTCTGCGACGACCAAGGCCCAATCCATGTTTCGTTGGGCCCAGAATTTTCTCAGCCTGCCCATTGCTCAAAAAAAAAAAAATCCTCTTGGCCTTCCCACAACTTTCTCAGCCTACTCATCATCTTGGCCCGGTGTCCTCTTCACACAAGAAGTCCTATCTATCTTGTCCTAATTAGGTGCACTCAGAGGAAATTGTTACTTTTTCTTTCTCGCTGGGCACGTATCTCATCGCGACAAGAGGATATATGTATATGACAAGTTGGTGTCGAGTTTTGAACCATCAATTTCACTCGTAGGTTCCAATGATTGGTTACAAACAAAATAGAGTTTAACTGAAGTAATTCACGGGGAGGTAGCCGGACAAGTCCATGTGGCGGCCACGTGGGAGGATCGGAGCGCAATCAATATCTGCTAAAACTTGGCCTCTAGTCACTGGGGCTGGGTTCTGATGGAGGACGTTCAACAAACACTCGCACAGAACATAATTGAGGCTGAGCCTGCTTGCCGATCCTAGTCTCCAGACAGTTTCATAACGCCAAGAGACTATGTCAGCTTATCAAGCATTGTCTCGTTATTAGTGGTATATGGCCGTATGGGCCTCCAGAGCTCAGACATGGGGTCTTCAGCAATAACTGCTGCAAACTTTCATGCTTCAGCACCCGGTAGTTTGAAGCTCCTGTGTTCTTTCTTTCTCACATCCATTTCTGCAACTTTTCGCTATTTGGATAAGAATGTGCAACATGAAGCGCTGATCTGAATTGGTGTGTGCTGAATGAATGCCCTGAATTTCTACTTGTTAGGACATGATAAACTTTGTTTGAAAAATTGTTGGGCATAAGCCTAATGCATTGTGTTGGGCTACCACCACCACACGATCGAGGAAGAGACAAGGGGAGAACTGTATGCAGAGAAGAGGAGTCAGTGAGTCACTAGGTTTGCATCGGTCCGTGCCGTTTCATTGTACTTGTTCGTGGTACAACTGCTTCTTGATCCCAGGACAAGAAGCCATGGTTGTACACATACGACAGCTGGTGCTCCCATTTCCCCCGTTCATGGGCCAAATACCCCAGCTGTCCAAATGTACCACCAACCATTGCAGCTCATGAATGAGTAGCCCAGTACAGACTTGCATCTTGTCATATATATACACTTGAAACTACTAGACCAAATGGCATATACATATATGTGTGATGTGTATGGGTTAGGTCACACGGTCCAAGCACTTGCTTAGGCTTAGCACGGACGGTAGGGTCCTACTCCTACACCAACGGCGAGCAAGAGCATGCAATTGAGGCACTTGGGGTTGAGCTGGCCTGGCTTCTCTGTGTGTTGCTGCTGCTGCTGCAGGTCCAAGACGAACTGAAGCTGTCCAAGAACAGGTGTATGTGGCATCAGTTCACTGAGAAACTGCCTTTTGTGTTGATGACAAACTAAAATCAAATCACGGCCGGGGTGCCGTCATTGGTATCATGAGTCGACCACGTAACAACCGATCCGACAAAGCCAGGTGTGTCGTATCATGAACAGTGACTGAAACCTAGCACAAGTTAGCGACGAAAAGATTCTGCCGGGTGGTGGTCCTAGGTCGACAGTAACTAAACTGGTGTATGTATAAGATTTTGGCTAAAAGTTTATGGAGATCGCAGAGAAAAATAATCGCCGAGATAAGAATGTAAGATCCTTGGTGATCCTAGCATGCATATTTCGCACTCTTCTTTATCTGCCATATCTTGTACAAGTTTTAGGTGCCGTCATTGGTATCATGAGTCGACCACGTAACAACCGATCCAACAAAGCCAGGTGTGTCGTATCATGAACAGTGACTGAAACCTAGCACAAGTTAGCGACGAAAAGATTATGCCGGGTGGTGGTCCTAGGTCGACAGTAACTAAACTGGTGTATGTATAAGATTTTGGCTAAAAGTTTATGGAGATCGCAGAGAAAAATAATCGCCGAGATAAGAATATAAGATCCTTGGTGATCCTAGCATGCATATTTCGCACTCTTCTTTATCTGCCATATCTTGTACAAGTTTTAGGTGCCGTCATTGGTATCATGAGTCGACCACGTAACAACCGATCCGACAAAGCCAGGTGTGTCGTATCATGAACAGTGACTGAAACCTAGCACAAGTTAGCGACGAAAAGATTCTGCCGGGTGGTGGTCCTTGGTCGACAGTAACTAAACTGGTGTATGTATAAGATTTTGGCTAAAAGTTTATGGAGATCGCAGAGAAAAATAATCGCCGAGATAAGAATATAAGATCCTTGGTGATCCTAGCATGCATATTTCGCACTCTTCTTTATCTGCCAGGTCCTCCTGAACCTGAATCATTCAGAAGAAGCAACATTGCTACCTGTCAAGCTCATAGAGTGCATTGTGCATCAGACTGAAAGTCCTGTACTCCTGCAAGGACCAAGGATATCAGTAAATGGCCTAAACATGCAGCGACATTTTTTTTCAGATGCCAAACGAAGGCAAGGCAAGCCAAGACTAGGTGTATGTGATCCAGAGAGACCAGAGCATGCATAATGATGGCACCTTCACTGAGCTCGCATCATCTGAAACAGGAGAGATGGCAAGCATTTTGTCTGACGCGTCACGGTAAAATTAAGCCCCTGTGGAATAATCAACGCAAGGTTGCAGACGAACACCACCACCTGGCTCCTCACTGTCTTATTACAGTTACAGCAGCCAGCATCTGCAATCTGCATGCAGTGGCAGTAGCAGTAGTGTAGTGTAGTGTAGTGTCATCTTCTTCCCCAGAGCTAGAGCGTCCTTAGCCGCCTTAAATACAGCACCCCGTAGTCCTCTCCTCCTCGCACCGCACACACTGACCAACAGCTAGCTCCACCTCAGCGGCACTGCACCTGCACCTCCCCCGCCAGCCGCCAGCCGCCAGTCAGCATGGAGGTGGTGGTAGAGTGCGCCAAGTGCGAGTGCTGCGGCCTGGTAGAGGACTGCACCCGGGACTACATCCTGGGCGTGCGCGCGGCCTTCGGCGGGCGGTGGCTCTGCGGCCTCTGCTCGGAGGCGGTGCGGGACGAGGCGGCCAGGGGCACGGCGAGAGGCGCAGGCGCCGCGGCGGCGGGGCTGGAGGAGGCGCTCCGGGACCACATGGCCTTCTGCGGCAAGTGCAGGCGGAGCCCCGCGTTCCGGGTCGCCGACGGCATGCGCCAGATGCTGCGCAGGTGCTCCAAGTGAGACGGCGCTGGCGGCACGCCCGCCGCATCGTCGTCGTCCCGCGTTGGCGTTGCACGGCGAAAATCGGCAGTGCGACCCGCGTCGTCTAGCGAGCCTTGCACAAGACAAGACAAAACAAGGCGAACACGCCGGCCATTGCCCATTGCCGTGTCGTCTCTGTGCAGTGAGCTGCTGGCGACATTATGTTATGGGCAAGGAATTGGCACGGCAGTCGGCAGTATTAGGGCGTTTAATTAATTTGGTGATCTCTGAAAATTCAGGGACTCGTAGGTGTCATTAGAAAGCTTGGTTGTACATTCTGCTTCAGGCTACAGCTGTTTTGTTTCGTCAATAAGGAAACTACGTGTATGATCGTGTATGGTCTGCACGGCAGGCGAAAATAGCACGTAGTACAATTTCATTTCATTCCTACATATTCGGTGTGTCCTGCACTCCATGCTCTGCTTATTTCTTTCACTGACATAAATTAATAATATTGTTATGAGTTTATACAAATAATTATTCCTTCATTTTTGATCCAGCTGTGATAAATGCAGGATGGAACATGGTCCTACGGAAATAATTTTAGTGCATTCACCACATTAAACACACAACCATGGACTCATGGAGATATATTTCTTTAGCTTTTACCTACAAAATATGACTGGCATGAAAGATACGAATGCTGATTATGAAGGTTGTGCGGCAAAAAAAACACAGCCATTGACTTCATCTTTACAGAGGGATCTAGTAAACAATATTGAAACCTGATTATGAAGGATGTGCAGTGCCAGCTAAAAAATTCCCGAGCCGCTGCGAAATAAAGATGTTATTTCTGTCATAAATTCACAGGAGCAAAACTGATGACATTGTAAGCTGAAACATATCATCACTACAAATTCACAAATGAAAACATAGAAATCTTGTATAGGGAAAAAAAGAGAGGATGGATAAGCATCTCAAATATCACCACTGCACGATTTCTGAGGTTGTGTTTTTGCTGGTTGCCATCATAGAAAAAAGATGCAGCAGTTTCAATACCTTGTGCATCAATGGTACTGCCCCTTTTTTTGCAACAGGCATACTATGATGATCACTGAATAACATTTTCACAGCTATTCTTGAAAAAGAGGACTGCCAGACAACCAAACACTTGGACCACCGAACTATACAGGATACTTGTATCAACTTCGAAGGACAGTTTACCCCCAAGAAATAAGAGGAGTTCCAAGAATTTACCAATGGTCTAGCGCCTAGCTGCAACAGAGAAGTGGCCACCAAGATTCACCGGATCTGAATCAACCAAATCTGAGAAAAGAAAGGTGAAATCAAAACCCTACTGAAACAAGAACTGAAGCAACAACTCTACAGAACAGATGAGATGGGGAGGAGGGAGAGGCCCACGGGAGCTCTACAAGGGCCGCCAGAGTGGAGTGGACGGCAGGGTAACAAGCTTGATGTGGATGTGGCGGCGGCAGCGTACCAGGGGTGGCAGGGTATCTCGCCCCGATGTGGGCTTCGTTCCACGCCACGCGTGGTTGGGGCTCGAACTGTTAAAGCGTGAACGTAAATCAACCAGATTTGAGAGAACTATCGCTTTTATTGATGTTTAAATATATTTATATAATTAGAGGGGTGTTACGGTGACACGACTGTTCTCAAAAATATACCCTTTAAAACTAAAATTAACTGTCTAATTCTGTACTTATGGATGAGATCATTTGTGAAGAGGCGTCTGTTTATCTGTAGACGTCCGTTCACGTATAGGTGTCGTTTTACAACACTCTCCCTTATCAAATCTTCCTTGAGATCAATGCAGCTGTAAGCTGAAATTCTCGAAAAAACCCTATGGAAAAAATCTAAGGAATTTATAATATGCCATAAAAACTCCGTTAAACCTTATTGGAAAATAAGGAGAAAATAGCATATTTATGAGACAATTCTCTGTGCGCCATTAAAAAAGATCGCAATGTCCTTTGTGTCCATGAAAAAGTTCAACGGTCTTCAGCGCCACTGCTTCAACTTTTTCGTGTCTTCTATGCCACTTCCGTCAGTTTGGGCTCTAACGCCGTCAAACTGTAGGTGTGAAAAGACGAAAATGCCCTTAAGTGTAAATATGTCATTAATTTTTTTGAGCGTTTTTTTTTCAATGAAAAAACTCAAACTTCAAATTTAGATCTCAAAAGATCTATAATTTGTATATAAAATATTTTTATTTAATTTCGCAAAAAATATGAATTGATATGATTAATATATCTTAGAAAAATCATATTATTTTTTTTCGAAATTAAATAAAAATAATTTCTATATGAAAATTATAGATCTCGACGAGATCTACAACTTTCTAGTTTTGAGTTTTTTCATTTGAAGTCGTTAAGATGCTCAAAAAAATTAATGACATATTTAGAATTAAGGGTATTTTCGTATTTTCACACATGCAGTTTGACGGCGTTAGCGCTCAAACTGACGGAAGTGGCATAGAGGGCACGAAAAAGTTGGAGCAGTGACGCTGAAAAACGCTGAACTTTTTCAGCGACACACAGACATTACGATTTTTTTTAATGACACACAGAGAATTTGCCCTATATTTATCTATGATTTAAATAAACCACTATGTCATTGGTATCCCATTAAAAATCCCAGTGGGGAAAAATATTGGAGATACGACATAAAGATAACTCCCCCAAAAACCTTTCAGAAAAAATATGAGGAGCAATATAAAGTGATATGCCGCTAAAACTCGTGTAAAAACCCAGTGGGGAAATTAGGAGAAAATATGACGACATATTATTGGTATTGCCTCTTGGATAACTCACATGAAACACATTTTCAGAAAAAAACCATGGATGAGTTGTGAGGGCAATATGTGTCTTTAATATTTTCCCACAAAAAACCCCGATGGAGAAAATATGAAATATGACACATGCTTATGTTAATATTACATCATTAAAAACTTTAACAAGAAACCTTGTAAGTAAAACTTGTGAAAGAAAAGAGTATAATATGATGCTGGTACAGGTGAAAGCTCTAGTTTGGTTTTGGTGAATTGATGAAACCCTAAGTGCTAACCTAGTTTATCAAGTGATCATGAGATAGGTAGCACACTCCAAGTGGTGAAGCAAATGAAGATCATAGCATGATAAAGATGATGGCATGGTGATGATCAAGTGTTTCGACTTGGAAAGAAGAAAGAGAAAAACAAAAAGGTCAAGACAAATGTATAATTTGTAAGAGCTATTTTGTTTTGGTGATCAAGACATTTAGAGAGTGTGATCACATTTAGGATTGATAGCCGTACTATTAAGAGGGGTGAAACTCATATCGAAATGCGGTTATCAAAGTGCCACTAGATGCTCTAACTCATTGCATATGTATTTAGGATCTAGTGGAGTGCTAAACCTCTTGAAAATGTTTGTGAAAATATGCTAACACTTGTGCACAAGGTGATACACTTGGTGGTGTTGGCATATTTACAAAGGAGGTGGTGTTTGCAGGGTTGAGATGGGTTTGGGTCGGCGGGATTCGACGCTTTCGGGAAAATAGAATGCCTATTTTCTATTACGCCGGATGTAAATTCTTGTGGTTGGCACATTGGAGCAAGGATGAAGAAGTTAGAAGTGAAAACGAGTTGATCACGAAGACACTGGCGTCGGTCTTCTGACCAGACGCTGGGTCTGAAAGCACCGGACCCTGGCTGCGTGTGTCCGGTCAAACTGACGGGTCTGCGCAGTGCCGAGGGTATAACATCGGACGCTGATCTGTGTTCGATCAAGGTGGACCGGACGCGTCCGGTCGAAGAAATACGCCTCGGGGAGCTTATTGGAAACGACCGGACGCTGGGGCTTCAGCGTCCGGTCAGTTTTACCGGAGCGTCCGGTCAGTTTTACCGGAGCGTCCGGTCAACTACGTAGCCGTTGAAATCGGGCGATCGGCGTTTGAAGCCAATGACTCGTGGCGCTCATCGCACGACCGGACGCTGAGGTCCAGCGTCCGGTCAATATGACCGGTGCGTCCGGTCAGCCCGTGTTCAACCTAGTGAAGGGGTACAACGGCTCTATTTCACTGGGGCTCTATTTATAGCCCCATGGCCAGCTCAAGCTCTCTCTCTTGGCCATTTGCATTGACATAGCAACCTTGTGAGCTTAGCCAAAGCCCTCCCACTCATTTCCATCATAGATTAAATATCTTTGTGAGATTGGGAGAGAATCCAAGTGCATTGCTTGAGTGTTCGCATCTAGAGGCACTTGGTGTTCGTGTTTCGCTGCGGGATTCGCTTGTTACTCTTGGTGGTTGCCGCCACCTAGACGGCTTGGAGCAGCGAGGATCGTTGAGCGGAGGGTGGTGATTGTCTCCGGCTCCGATCGTGGTGATTGTGAGGGGTTCTTGACCTTTCCCCAGCGGAGCGTCAAAAGGTACTCTAGTGGATTGCTCGTGGCTTGTGTGATCCTCATCTTGTGTTGGTTGTGCGGCACCCTATTGAGGGTTTGACGTGTGAAGCCAATTAGCGCGTGAACCTCCAAGTGAGTGAATCGCCACAACGAGGACTAGCTTGCCGGCAAGCAAGTGAACCTCGATAAAAAATCATTGTGTTCATCATTGATTCCGAGGTGATTGGTCTTCATTGTTATCCACACTTGTGATTGATTGGTTCATACATCTACACGGCGGTATAACCTTCTTGTCTACTCTTTACATTACCGCAAACTAGTTGTCAAGCTCTTTAGTGTAACTAGTTGTGAGAGCTTGTTAGTTTGGTTAGTGTGGCTCTTTAGTTAGCCTTTGAGAACACACTAACTTAGTGTAGTGATATAGCTATTGTGTGGATATACTCCATCTAAACTAGAATTATGGTAGGTGGCTTGCATTTTGATAGGCTAGCGCAAAACTCGCTTCGCCTCATAATTGTCTAATCCTTTTGTTAAGTGTCGTTGAAGAAATTTTATTAGGCTATTCATCCCCCCTCTAGCCATTAGGACCTTTCAATAGGTCAACATTTAGGAGATGTCTCCCCCTGATTCTAG